CTCAACCTATTGACTAAGGAATGGTTGTCAAACAAGTAGCCAAAGCTACCCTCTTAGTCTCTAGGTCGAGGAAATGGGATACGATCCAAGTCACTAATGCGACCCTCTCAACCTATTGACTAATGAATGGTTAGACTTCACCCTCGAATTGGAGTTCGGACAGCCACCCACAAGCAAACCCTAAGTGTTATTACGAAATAGGAGGTTTGCCCTGCATTAACCTAACTAGGAGGCAACGAATCACCCAAGAAAATCCAGCATTTAAGCCTCTTTCAAAGAAAGGAAGGGGGTTTTCTCTCTACCTAGGTTAGAATGGAAATTAGATTGATGAGCTTTCACACAACACAATCATTCATGAATAATACCTCCGCATTCACATTAAACACAACCACACACAAATCATTCAATTCATACAAGCATTCACATAATTGTAGTTAGGGTTTACAAACACCCAAGTGAAAGAAGGGACTACTGCATGCTAGGAGAAGGGAAAACACAAGAGAGGAAAAGGGAAACCATCAAGAAGAGGTTGGCCTTGCTCCTTGTGTTTAAGAGATCCTCCTTTGGGGGAGGAATTCCCCAAATCCTTGCTTGGAGACCCTAGCTTCTCATCTTCTTTGGTTTGTCACTTTCTCACTCTAAAATCTGAAGAAGAAGAAGTTTCTCACACTAGGTCTCTCTCCCTTTCTTCTTCCTTTCAGCTGGCTCTTTATACTGAGATTGAGTCCAGTTCACAGCCGTGAACATTTAAATGCGTCCGTGAACACAGCGTGCTTAACCAAAACGCACCACTTCACTTCTTGGATTCATGGTTTGTGGTTTCAGTTCACGGTCTTAGCGACCGTGAACAACCTTGGCATTAGTAACCTCAAAGCCCTCTCTGGACGCTCCTTGGAACTCCAATGGCAGACCGTTAACACAGGTTGTCTCCTCCTCTTTGCCCGGTCTTTCCTCCTTTTCTTCCAACTTTGGACTCCCTGGTTGGTTTCACCTGTTAGGATCTAAAACACACTGAACCACAAGAAACCTAGCATAAAACCACCCCATTTGGAGCTCAATTGCAACAAACGTCAAAGAGAAACGAGGATAAAAAGTGTACAATTAGGCCCGAATCAAGGGTTGAGGTCTATATACATGAAAACAAGGGCAACATGTCTTTCTAGAGGTTTTAAACCTCGTTCGAAGGCTAGAATCAACTCATTAGACAACAACCAAAGCTTGAACTCTTGGCTCTAAAAGCGTATCGAAGCATAAAATTAAAAGTGAGCCAAAATTTCAAACTAAAGGATCATGCATCATAGATTAAATCTTAAGTCATAAACACACTCCTAAGAGTCTATCTTAATCAAACAAGTTCAATTGAAAAGCAAAGGATAAAGAAAAACAAGTTTTATGTGGTTTGGACATTTCATGGAGCACTTGGTGGGCGACATTCAAGTTCCAAAAATTCATGAAAATAAAGCCCACCAAGGACTCCAAACACACATACAAATTTATAAGCATACATTCTATGATCCTATTGCACTAGCTATGCCATACCCTAGCGATAAGTAGCATAATTGATAGGTTAAGCTAGCACACATGCTCAACACAACAACAATTGCAACCATTCCTTATGAAACTAGATAGTCTCCAACAATCATTCATATAATAATTTACATTGAAGGGAATCATTCACTAACTAAAACTATAGAAACTATCTAAAACAAGATTAAGCCTGCAAGTATTATTTTGAAAAAAGGTAAGAAAATGCAAATCGGTTGTTGGGGTACCTCTGAATTAGTGCCTCTTTTAAGTCTTATCGCCAGATGATTATCTTCAAATATTCGGTCCAACTTAGAACCTCCTTGAAGTTTAGGTTCTCATCAGTGAGATAGTGTCTCAAGTCACGAGCTTTGAATGAGTCCATGCTTGAGGGCTCGTGAACTTGAGTGGTCTTGAGGCTCCACCCACGAGATCTCTCTTTCTTTCCTTCATCCTTCTTCTCTTTGCTCCACACCATGTAGTGCAACATCGATTTACTTCCATCGCATCCACCAAGAGGGATCGCCGATGTTTTGGCTAATGTGCCTACTCCCACTGCCAAGTCCATGAATTAAACCATACCAACCATCCATACACTACTTGACTTCCCTCCTTAACGGGAGATGACTCCTTTGGTGTTGGTTTTGAATTTTCCAACTTAACAACGGATGGTACCCGATCGACTTGTCTTGCCTTGGTGGGCTTGCAAGGGGTCCCATGCTCGTAAGTCTAAGGCACCTTACTAGAAATGTTGGGTTGATGTTGAACCCGATGTGCTTGCCTCGTCCCGAGTGGTACACTAGACATTTTCAACTCCTTCTACTCATCAAAGGGGCCAGGAGTTCTCATCTGTCTTAGTTTTCCCCAACTTGGCACATGCTTACTCTTCCCATATGGTTGGGAAGACGGGTGTTTGGACTTACAGAGTTGACAACCACCCTTGTGGCAAACTTAACCCTTAAGATGGTGAAAACCTTAGAGCGCTTGGGTGTGATGAACACTCTTAGACTTGCCCCTCACTCTTTTTTTCACTGTTGGTGACATGCCCCCCTTCCACTGGTTGGAGACATGCCCCCATACCCTTGTTCATGGTTGTTGACGTGCCTCATTTGCCAAACTTAGCCATATTGGTATGGTTACTAAAAGCATGTGTGATTTCATATTGTGGCTTATTGGGCACATCTATCAGTCCACTAGTTGTGGTTGTTGACGTGCCCCTCTTACCCCACCTGGCTATACCATCATGATTCCAGACTTAGTTTGGCACCCCTTTGTGCCGCCTTGTTTCCAGACTTTGTTTTTGGGAGCCAAATTTCATACCAAGGGTGGATGTATCGTCTGGTTATGGGGGCCAAGGAGACGGGTCAGCCATCGTATAGGGAAGAAGGAGTTTGGCTACTTAGGCCCAAAAAGCCAACCCAACAAGGTCCAACTAGCTCTTTTAATTACTAATGTAGAGCTGACCTTATAAATCCATTAAATCTCCTATAGTTAATCGATGTGGTACAAGCTGATTTTTTTATGGGTAAACACATTCGAGAATCACCCCATTACATGGGGTCCCTAGGGTATTTTAGTGGCGATTCGATTGAGCAAAACCAATCAAGTTATGATGTCCTCCCTTGAGGCATTCTTGCTTATAAATAAAAACATCGAATTGTTCTTTGTTCCTCTCTTGATCTATGGACTATGATAGCTCCATGATGATTCATAGTCCCCATGAATTCTTGTGCTTCCTAATGGAGGTGTTTCCAAAGATGACCGTATCATCAGCAAGAGACAATCCTTGTTATAAGATTCGAACAGGATCAACGATCGGGCCAGTAGAACCGTTAAACTAGTTATGATATCGGTCTGTTTCATTATTTGGACGGTTATTGATGGACAAAACGTTTTTTACAGTTCAACATAAAACCAGATGAACCACCACGATTTAACTGGTTCACTATTTTAACCACAATTTTTTTTTTGAAAAAAATACTTTAATAACATATAAGACTATCAAATCAGAATTATTAATTTTATTTTTGCTTCATCTTCTCAGTTTTCAACTTTGTTGTCGACTTTACGTGATCCGCTACCTTCTAGCACCATAATTAATTTTTAACTTGAATTAAAAATATTATGATTTCTTTTGTGAGACGGTTTAAATAATTTGTTAAATATTGTGGAGATGATATGAATTTGAAATTATTTATGGTCAATGTTAACTTCATTCTCAAATTAGTGTGTTATACAATCTTGTATGTTATATATCATGAAAGGTTCTATCAATGGTTAGTCAATAATTTTGTAATGGTTAACCGCTAAACTTCAAACTACTAACTTTTCCGGTTGTGTGGCCACCATGGGTTGAGTTTAAGATCTCTTATATAGTTATATATGTTTATCCACCACTGTTTTTTTTTTCTATATAAAAAAAGATAAGACATTGGCCTACTGCACTTAACAATTTTAAGTCATTTCATCCTATCCTATTTCATACACAAGTAGGCTGCGTTGATTTGTTGAACCGACTAACTATAATTGTTCATCATTCACATGAATTCGTTCAAGACTACTTTAATCTAATTTGGTCTTTGGTTATTTGTCAATTGCACCATGAAGATAGATTGGAGATGAATTGTTCAGGTTCATCCATTTCTGAGTAAAATTTAGTAGACTCGTTATTAAACAAATATTTGGTTGAGTGGTAATATCATTAGTTTTGAATTTGGAGGTTTCATGTTCAAATCTATTAATTAATACTTAAATAATCAAAAAATAAACTTATATCACTCTTATAAAAATAATAATTTGGTAGACTCGTTTTATTTTTTGATCCATAGCATCTGGGACCAAATTTTCATATCCAATCCAAGGCACTCAAGAGTAACCAAAAATGGTCGATCATTGACTAGATTGAGGTGTGGTCTTAAGTAATGAGCTAGTTTGGTCCTGCTGTAACTTTTGCAGAAACAATTTCTGGCGGGAGCTTTTAGAAAAGTTCATAAAAAAGCAGTTGAGCGTGTGACTGAAAAACTATTAGAAGTGCTTTTTAAATGAGAGGTTGTGTAAAATGAGTATAAATGACGTATAATATAAACTATGAATAAAATTTTTAAACAATAAAAAGTAGTCGAGATAGATCTTGTTAGAATTCTTTTATATTAAATAATATGATTTTATAATTTAATTTATTTTTAAAATGATATAAATAAAATAAAATTATATTTTCTGGAATAAAATTAATATATGGTAAGGATAATCTTGTAATTTCAAAACATCTTTTCGCAGAAGCTCAGTGGAGCTTCTGCTCTTATGTTATACAAAAATCCTTTTCAGTTTTTCAAAAGCAGAACTTCTAAAGGTGTTTTGTCATACTTCCGCTTTTGAAGTCGAAAAACACTTCTAAAAGCCGAGCCAAACATGGACAACTTCGAACTTATGTTATTAACCAAAATTTGTCTAACTTTAACTAATTTCTTAGTCAAGTTCCTCATTCTGTACCGAGTCAAAACCAACGTTTGTACAACAACTAGCATAGCAAGGCATTTAACCAAATATTACGTCATGGCATGGACCAAGTACAAAATCCAACTACCCATCAGTCCACTATCACGAAAATCCAGTGGAGCCTAAGGTTGTGGGAGAACGTATCAAATAATGGATTATCGGACACTTCCTTTTTCCGGGAATTGGTTCGATATTGCCTTTGTGGCTAGCACGTGGAGTGCATGCTACGTTCTTAAACCTCCTTGCCCAAGCCTACCACAGATACATGAGTACATGACCATTCCTTTACCGCCTGGTTACTTCGCAGCATAGTTAGTAAAATACGGTACGGGAAAGTTACGTAAAAAATACGTACGGGTATTTTACGTCGTCTCTAAGTTAAAGGTACGTTTAATAGTACGTTAATAGTAATAAATATTTAAAAATAAATTATTTTAAAAATAAATAAATATATAAATAATAGTAAAGTTCACAATTTAATTCATTAAATACGGATATTAAACGTGTTATACGGGTTTTATACGTGTTTATTACGGGAGCCATCCAATGAACGGAAAAAAATGAAACGGCTTGACAATAATACGGATATGGAAGTTTTAAACGGATAAAGTACGTACGGGTACATATACGTGTATTAAACGGAGTATTTACTAACTATGCTTCGCAGTTCTACTAAACTCATCAACAGAAACCTCGAAAATTTGGCTCTTTACATTCAAATACCAATGATCCATCGATGAAACAAAGCCATCTGAAGTTATGCTACTTTCCGGTTGACTTGCAGCCAAGCTGGAACCTCCTTACCTTCATCCTTCCATCCAGTGCAAGAGCCAATACATCATATTCTTCCACATACCACAGCTCCGACACCACTGCCTGCATGTGTCACAGGCTTAAGTTTCAGGTGGTGGTTGCTGGCATTGCATGATGACAAGTGAGCTCTTGGGAAGATGAATAAGCTACATTACCTGGGACCCGTGGAGTTTGTTGTTCAGTTTCGCAACTAGCTCGTGGAAAAGCTGCATTGCATCATCTGGAATCTTCTCTATGTTCTGGAAAAAGGGCGTCTTGTCAAAGAAGCGCTGCAAGCTACGTGAAAATCACCAGAACATGTATATAAGTTAGATACTTATCTAACAACTAAATTGTGTGCTTACCTCGTTTGGAATAGTAGGGTTGCCAAGGAGTCTTGCAAATGACGTATGAAGAATAGCAGTGTCATACTGCAGTGCAGCATACAACTCTGTATTAGTCAAGCTTTACATTGCATGTAGCAATCTCAACAATCATCCTGATTAACTTACAAGTTGCTGTTCCGGGGCATGCGGAAGCACGCTCCTCAATTTAGCACGGATAGTTACAGGATCTGTTCCATCACTTACCTGAAAAAGGTGGAATGAGGAATGGCCACGGTACCAAATTGAGTATATACTGAACAAGATGTGAAACAAGCTACTTTCATAAACTTTTGCAGTAAACTTGCTTTTGCATCTAAATTTAGATAAATCATGGTGCAGCTTATATTGGGAAAAAGATGGAATGCTCAGAGGGAAAAAGGAGAAAGCAACTAAAACAGATCTAACTGCTGAAAACTAAGCTAGAAGCAACAACGACCAAGGACTAAGGGTCAAATGGATGAGATTGTGACTAACCTGCCAGCATCCGAGAAGCACACCAGTGGAAGTCAAAACCACTCTATCCAAGACAATTTTCAAAGGGCAAAAGCTCCTGACAGCAGTTTTAACAGCAGCTGCTTCAGCTTCAATCTAACACCAGATACCAGCACTCATGTTAAATGATTCTGCGGTAAAAGGAAAACAGTAAAGAAGGAAGAAGTTGAATGGTACTTTTTACCTGGGATTCAGTGGCAGGAACTGGTGTAATGTGATGAGAAGCATGAACCATGCTAAAATGGTACACCGTAGAGTTCTGAAACCAAATCGCTACCCAGAAAACATGTGAGATTGACAGCACAAGGAAAAAGTGACAGAGTAGAAATCAGAGGTACAATAGTACACATGTTCTGGGGATATTTAACAGCACATGAATCAGAGTATCAGACTACTAACGTTAAACAGCAAGGGAATAATGAGGTAGGCGCAAGTATCACTCACCTTTATTAAAATATGGAGCAAAGACATGTTTTACAGCATCCCTGTGGCAGGTCACGAATAACTGCCGTTAGTAACTAACAATATTTAAAGCATAGGAAGTAAGTAATGGAAAAAAAAATGGAAGGCTACAAAGTGATCGTTCAATGAGGTACTGATATAACAACCTGGAATAATCAGATGAGCTTTTCATCTAGTATAATTTTCTAATTTCAAGTATATATGTGGATGAGCCAACTTCTATGCTTTTCAGTTCAGACAAAATTCGGATAAGCAGATCCAGTCAATTCAACCATTTAAGCTCACCAATATTCACACATGGATTGTGAATTGAATCATTCACCCAAGAAACAATCCACACGACATTGCTCTTGCACGTAAGGTTATATGAAATCAACAGTACAGGAAAGGAAGTTAGGTCCAGGCATTTCCATAGATCACATCCAAACAGTTGGTACTTTCTACACAGTGGAAGATGTGAAGCCTCAACAGTCTGGAAATCAAAAGATACTTTCACTTGCTTACATAAATTGGAACCCATCAGCAAAGTCAAGAACTTAAAGTAGCTAACTCGCAAATGCCTTACTGTAATGTCATCAGAAAGGCTGATGCATCTGGAAACTGTATACAATATAGAAAAGGCGATGCCTTTACCGAATTGTATCACTCAAGGTATGTGCTATGTTTAGTGGAAATGATTGAAACAGGCAAGCCTGGAAGAAAACAATGAAGCAAGAGGAAGAAGTACAGTAAGCTATTCTATATGCTTACGAGATGGGCAATGAATACTCTGGACTTAGATACAACACATTAGCTCTAACTGGAGGGTCGGCTGCCTGCCAACAGAAGGGAAACCATCAATGACATTGCAAAATGGAACGAGGACAAACTGGCATGACCTCAGCAATGGGTACCTTAAGTACAGGTGTAACTGATCCATCTTCTTTCAGGGTAAAAATATCCGAGAGGGACAATGACTGAGACGTTTCTCCATGTTTAAGAAAGGCTGCTCCTTTCTCATCCAGATCCCTTGCCATTTTATCATACAGCCTTGACCTTTGCTCGTTATATGCAATATGAGAATCTGAAAATAGTGCCCCTCAAGTCAATATCCATCTTTGTAGGTACGTAAACTCTAATCACCTAGCCTTTCAGTTCCCAAGATTTGTTCTGTTACAACTCAAATGCGGGAAAAGAATCCACAGCTGAATCAGTATCCAATTGAGCACGATAGCCGGGCTGATTGCTATTTCTTCATGTATGCAATTGATGGTAGTAAAAAAAAAGTAAGAGAAAAGATGGAAAGTAATTAGCTTTCTAAGGTAGAAGAACCCAATAACCCTACCTGCAACAAAAACCTAGTAATTGAATTTACACTGCCAAAAGACACCATAAATGGACCCCCTAAGATGATTCAAGTCAAAATCAGTAATGGAAATCAACAGCCACGGAAATTGCCGATTTGGAAAATGCAAATTTCAGCTTTGGGTGTGATAAGCGATCATAGCAGAGCACGATTACATGATCAATCAAGGCAATATATCAAATTTAAGAAGCGAGAAAGAAGAGAGCAACAGTACTACGGTTACCTGAAGAAGTGGAAGAAGTAGCAGAATTCTTGATAGCCATTTGGAGAAGAGAGAAGAAGAAGATGATGCAGAGTGACCAGATGAGGAACAGAGTTTTCGGATTACGGACAACATTAGTAGTAGACGCCGCCATAGCCATAGCCATAGCCATAGCCAATTATCTATCCAGCCGCAAATACCTGTTTGGTTCTTCTCTCGCGAACACCATAGCCAAGCTCCGATCGACTCTCGCTCCCCGGTTTCCTGTTGATTAGATTGATGATTCTCCGGTTCTCTTACCCACCGCGCAAAATAATTCTTCTTCTTCTTCTTCTTCCTGTTGAGTGTCTATCTGACTCCTGGGCAGCTGGGCTATTGAGTAGTGACCTCTCCATTTTCAATGCCCATGGTTTCGGTTTGGTTTGTCCATTGCAAAATGTTAACATTGGAATTTTTTTTATACTAATTTATAACTCGGTACGTTGGCCGAAATATTCATATTTGATTATTTATATTTTCATATTACGATTAAGTCTATCAACTTTTTAAATTTTACGAACAATCTTTCGATCGAGATGATACATAAAGAAAAAAAAATATATAAATCGAACATTTGGAGAAATATAAAAATGTATCATTGATCTCATTTTTATAATGATAATTAAGTCCCTGGAAAAATGCTATTGGTTAGTTGATAGTCAAGAAAGATAGAGGTATAAAAGCTCACTGAAATTCCCTCACGAACCATAGATAGTTTGAAACTAAATCTTGAACCTCGCAATCTTGCATAAATGTTCAATGCTCTCCTTTTAGAACAATATGCCACTAATCAAAAAGAAATGGAGAGTTGCTGATTCAAGTCAACTATATTCTAACAACTCAGCTAAGAAGGGAACATCACAACTTGAGAGCGAACGCCAAAGTTAGGGTTACCTCCAATATACTAAAAGACTCAATCAAAGATCCAATAGCTTCAAAAACCATAAACCTAAAGATCCAATAACCACCACTCTCCGTTGTACAATAAAAATTTTATCCACTCTATCTGCAATCTCAAGAGGCATATGTTTCAACCAAAAATTCAATTTTTAATCCTCCTTCTGCACCTCCATTTATTGTACTCCATTCTATTCGCCATGGATTGATATCGGAGTTGAAATCTTTTACTTGTCAAATTTAAATCCCAGAGAATAAAATCATAGTGCCAAGAGATCGGAAGATTGATTTTCAAAGACTACCTTATACTACGAAGTGAAAGGGGCACAAATTATTGCACGATGGAGAGAATTTCCGAGGAAGTTAGAAAGAGATAAGAACAAAGATAAAAAAAAGTACAAATTTAAATAAAATTGAGAAATGCAAGAACACAACACGTTGTAATAGAATTAGTTTCTTGCATGATGGCCAATTACCAATTTACCTTTAGCGAAAATTAAGGAGAGAGCAGTGATTTTAGAATTGAGAAACTACGTAAAACTCTGCTATGAAAATTGCAATATCAAGCACCATAAAAAGACATACAGTAGACTTAGTGGGCTTGCTAATCATGATGAAAGTCCAAAATATTGATATTGACATTTTTATATGGAATAAATAATTAATTGTAAAGAACAAAATGACTTCCTACTTTCACTATCGTTGCAGGAAATTTGAAATAGAGAAAAGTAGACAAAACTCAATTATTGGAAAACAAAAGGTATATCAGAACAAGAAGACAATTACATCTTGACAATTACTATATATTATTGTTTACCCTCAAAGACGACCCAGTTCTGTGACCTCCATACTCTCCAAAGGACAGCAATCACCGCCATGAGCAGAGCGGGTTGATGTATGATGGACATTAGTTTCTTGAGGAAGAGCGGGAACGTGTGACGTGGTACTGGTGGACCCTAAGAAAATTTTATTTTATTGGACGGAAACAACCCCACCTTGGGTCACCCTGGGGTCACTCCGGCCACCCGGGGTCAAATACCTTGGGTCACCTTGGGGTCACTCCGGCCACCCGGGATCAAATACCTTGGGTCACCTTAGGGTCACTCCGACCACCCAGGGTCAAATACCTTGGGTCACCCTGGGGTCACTCCGGCCACCCTGGGTAAAATACCTTGGGTCACCCTGGGGTCACTCCGGCCACCCCGGGGTCAAATACCTTGGGTCACCTTGGGGTCACTCCAGCCACCTCGGGGTCAAATACCTTGGATCACCTTGGGAAATACCTTGGGTCACCTTTGGGTCACTCCGGCCACCCCGGGGTCAAATACCAAGGGTCACTTTTGGGATCACTCCGGTCACCCGGGTCAAATACCTTGGGTCACTTTGGGGTCACTTTGGCCACCCCGGGGTCAAATACCTTGGGTCACCTTGGGGTCAATCAGGCCACCCCGGGGTCAAATACCTTGGGTAACCTTTGGGTCGTTCCGGCCACCCCTGGGTCAAATACCCTGGGTCACCTCGGCTATCTTGGGCTCTCCGCCCACCCCAGGTCACCTCAACCTTTATCCACGTACCCCCGCAACGTGTCCACCGACCAAACCACCAAGCTCTCGAAGGAGACACGTACTCCCTTCATGTTCTCCTGGGAGCCTCTATAAAAGGCCACTTCGTCTCCATATTGAAGTAAGAAAAAATTCCCCATGCCTAGACTCGTGAACTCGTGCTATGATTAGCGCAGATATTCCTTCTCAACTCCATTCCCTCATCTTTCTTTTCGAGATCATATTCCTCTCCACTCAGCACCCTCACTAACTTGGGCGTCGGAGAGTGTCCCCGCCGAGATCGGCTGGCAGACCCTTTTTGCAGGAGACGACCGGAGCTAACATCACGAGTAAAGCTCGAGGTGCAAGGTTGCCGTCGACCGACTCCGGTGCCCAGCATAAAAATTCGACGTCGACTACAAACCCGACATAAACAATTGGGCCCCACCGTGGGGCCCCGGAGCAAAAGATCGAAAAATAAAACCTAGTGCCACTACTTCGCTCAGGATGGAGTCTCAAAGCTCCCTACATCCCCAAACTGGCGGCGGAGTTCGAGACAAAGAGCCAGATCCTCCAACGTCTGTTGAAGAACTTCAAGACCAAGTTGAGCAGTTGAAAGCCCAAGTCCAAGCATTGCCATCAGATCATCCTCCAATCCATGGGTTGCATGCCCTTCCACCTTCCAGAATACTACGGCACTTCCGAACCAGAAGATCACCTCAGTGCCTTCCAGATTTTGATGCCTTTCCTGGGGGCATCTGACGCTACCATGTGCAAACTCTTCCCCACCACCTTCCGGGGAGTGGCATTTCAATGGTATACTCAGTTGCGAAATGGCATAATCACAAGCTTTGAGGAGTTCGCCACCCTCTTTTGAGCCAAGTTTTTTGCCCAGAAACGGCCAAATGTGGACGTGTCTCGCCTCATGAGCACTAAACAAAGAGAATACGAGACCATTAAGGAGTATTACTCTCGATTCAACACGATTGTTGTCGGGGTTACCAATCTAACCACAGAAAATGCAACTCATGCCCTCGTATTTGGAACAAGCAACTCTCTTCTCCGAGCGTCACTTATAAAGCGGCGTCCTCGCAACATGATGGATCTCCAGGAACGGGTGTCCAAATACATCGCCCTCGATGAAACCTTACAAGAGGCAGCTCCCCCAAAGCGTGCTCGGTCACCGCAAAAAAGGAAACGAGAACCCTCACCTCCACATCGTCCAGACTCACCAAAGTCTCGCGACCATCAACAAGGTCGCTCTTCGTCTAGCTAAGGCATGGGGGCACGTCGAGACAGGTGTCGGGAGGAGTCAATCTCTAAGCCTGACCGGACTTTCACCCTGCTAACGGAGCCCCTCAAGACCATTCTTCAGATAATCCAGGAGAAGAAGATCCCCATATCTTGGCCAAACCCCATAACAAAAGAACCTCGGAAATGGAAACACAAGTACTGTGATTTCCACCGGGGATATGGCCATGACACTGAGCGATGTTGGACATTAAAAAACTATATCGAAGACCTGGTACAGGAAGGTCACCTGAAGAAATACATTGGGAACCCGGAGAACCGCCCTCAAGAAGTAGCACTGGCAGATCGAGGAATGGCACCACAGGGCGATGGGATACTCGGAGTCGTGGATGTCATCCACGGGGGCGCTGGTTTGAGCAATGCTAACAGAAAACCACTCTCGACCTGCGGTCAAGCGATGGTGGGGTCAACATCCTCTATCGCGGGGACTCCCACAATTTCCTTTGATGTCAAAGACTTGGACGGAGTCAGCCACCCCCATGATGACCCGCTAGTGATTGAGGTTGTGGTTGCAGACTACAAGGTCAAACGAATCTTGGTGGATGGAGGTAGCTCGGCGGATCTCCTGTTTTACCCTGCTTACCTCTCCCTGGGGTACCGCCAAGACCAATGCCGGCCCGCGAAAATTTGCTTGGTCGGTTTCTCAGGAACTCAGGTATCCATGTTCGGGACGCTCCCACTACGTGTTCGTGTTGGAGAAGGGGACCAAATTGTAGAAACTGTCACCAACTTTCACATCGTAGATTGCCCATCAGTATACAATTGCATTCTAGGGCGACCTTTTTTACATCAACTCCGAGCAGTCCCCTCCACATTCCACCTCCGCCTTAAGTTTCCAACAAACACTGGCATTGGATGTGTTCGGGAGATCAAGCTCTTGCCAAACAGTGTTGCACACTTTCTTTACAAAAGAAAGCAGTTGTCAACATTGACGCCCGAGAAGAAGGCATTCGTCCCGTTCCCGTTGACCCCGATGAGGATTTTCCTATCTCCGAGGGGCACACTGTCCGCATATCTACAGCATGGTCTCGTGAGGCACTTCAATCTCTTTTGACACTTCTCCAAGAGTTTGAAGAGGTTTTTGCCTGGGGGCCAGAGGACATGTCCGGTGTCGACCGCCGGGTGGCAGAACATGCGCTTGGAATTGCACCTGGCAGCCGCCCCATCCAACAAAAGCGACGCAATTTTTCTTGGGAAAGACGCCAAGCAGTGGCGGAAGAAGTCTCAAGGCTTCTCAAAGCAAAATTCATTCAGGAAGTTCTCTATCCAACATGGCTCGCAAACGTGGTAATGGTGAACAAGGCAAATGGCCAATGGCGAATGTGCGTCGACTTTATAGATCTCAACAAGGCCTGCCCCAAAGACCCGTATCCTCTCCCAAAGATTGACCAGCTGGTCGATGCTATTGCCGGCCACCGATTTCTCAGCTTCCTAGATATGTTCTCAGGGTATCATCAAATCCCCATGAGAAAGGAGGACCAAGAGAAAATTGCATTCATGACACCTGTGGGCAACTATTGCTACAAGGTGATGCCTTTTGGGCTAAAAAATCCCGGCGCCACATACCAGTGAATGGTGGACCACGTTTTTGCCCGTCAGCTAGGGAGAAATTTGGAGGCTTATGTCGATGACATCTTGATAAAAAGAGAAGGTGTAGATGAGAACCTAGA